ATAACACAATATCAGCAGTAGCTAGTATGAGACGGTATGCTAATAATTTTTTAATATGCTAAAAATTATGTAACAATGAATGTATGTGTACATGTACATGTATTATCATTAATTAGTATGACCATTTATTAAAGCAAGAGTACTCATTATAAAAGTGATATCTTAATTATTATTTTTGTTATAGCATGCTTCTCTTGTCAAGAGATTATGCTACTAAGAGAAGAGCGTTTGGAAAGTTTTTGGTTGAGCACTCCTTACACATGAGGACACTGGCTGAACTAGAGGTATGTATAGACTAGAAAATGGGTGAAAACTGATGATATCCTGTCATGGCCAATTGGCTATGGTCTTTGGCCCGAATTTGGAGCAAATTAAAAAATTTATAAAAAATCTAATTTGGATCGAAATAAGCTCAAAATTTCTACACAACATAAGTACATGTATGCGTATTTTAAAAAATTATAAAAATGAAATATTCTCTCCTAGTCATTTTTGACAAAATTTTGCTGATGACCCTGTACTACAGTACAGGGTCCTTGAGCCAATTTTGGAGTAACTTTTAAAATTCATGATAAATCCAATTTTGATCGGAATGAGTTCAAAATTTCTACACAACATAAGTGCATTTATATATTTCAGAAAAAATTATGAAAATAGTCAACTTTCTCTTAGTGATTTTTGATGAAATTTGACCTGATACAGGGTCTTTGGCCTAATTTTAGAGCAACTTTAAAAATTCATAATAAATTCAATTTTGATCGAAATGAGTTCAAAATTTCTACACAACATTAGTGCATGTATATGCATTAGAAAACGTAATAAAAATGAAAATTTTTCTCCTAGCTATTTTTGACAAAATACCCTGTACTAAAGGCTGCAAAAGTCATGGCAGCCATTTTGTTTGGGGGTTAATCTTACTTAGTAACGCTACCGCATTACTAATAGTCCATTATTTGTTACTATAGCTCAGTGTGTTTGTACTGGCAGTTTACACACTTTTATTTGTATTTCATTTTCATATAGTTAGAGACTAGAGGGTGTATGGTACTTGCTCTTGAGCTAACAGCACTTCTGGGTAGAGAGGAGTGTGGTCAAGCAACTAACGAAGAGATACATCTCCTGAGACTCTTCACTCCAGTGGCTAAACTTTACACTGCTAAGAAGGTATGTATGTTTATATGACTTGAGTCTCTTCCTTGTCTTTTCCTCTCTGGTGATATTTTACTTATCTGTATCATAATTCATTCTAAATAGTACATGCACTTGTTAATTAAGTTAAATAATAATTACATAAATAGGCCAATAATCATGTAATACATGTATGTATGTACTTTACTGTATACGTGGTTTTTTCGAGGGTTGAAAATTTCTTGTATTCCTGCCTGATTCTTGAGAATCAGTTTAATACAGTACCCACATGGCACGTGATAGAATTCACAAAATTAAAATCCGTGAATTGGAATTTTAGTAGATTTTGCAAAATATAATTCCCTCAAAAAGAACACTTATATGGCATTATGCATTGTTTCTTACTGTGCCCCATGCCCACAGCAGAAGTGTTTACTGTATGCATAATGTTATTTGTCATTCTGATATTTGGCTCCCTACAATTCTGATGCATATCGAATGTTTGAGTCGATTCTAATTAAGATATTAAATAAATGAGTCCTTTGTATACTGACCATCTTCCTATCTTTTATGCTTTCTAACACTTTGTCTCATTCCTTTACTTCAGGCAATGAGTGTCATGTCTGAAGGATTGGAGAGCTTTGGTGGTCAAGGATATATTGAAGACACTGGACTGCCTACATTATTCAGAGATGCTCAGGTAATATCTATTTATAACATAATATAATCAGAGATAATGGTCTTAATAATCTTATGGGAACAGAACTCCCATGGTTTAAAGTAGCAGTGTGATTATATTTATCAATCATTTATAT